GTATGTCATCTTCTTTTTCTCTCGTATCCTTTGATATCCAAAATCATTGCATTTAGTCCACGACCTCCCAACATCCCCTCCCTCTCCTTGTGCTATCCAGACACGTCCTTGTGAGTTTATCGTTATTCAGTAAGAAGACCATGCTTGAAAGCATGAAAAATAAGGACCGAGCGGCCGAACCCAATTGACTTGAGGTTGATTGACTAATTTAAGAAACATTCTTTTACAATAATATATATCTAAGACATTTTACAATAAAAGAAAAAGAATACTTAAACTAAAATAAAAAGATGGACATTTTGAATAAATTGACATAGCAGCAACGGACCATGTGACAAATGAGCTGCCTAATTTTGTTAGACCCATACGTGAACTTTATCAAATTCGGCCTTTCTCAATCGTTTATTTTCTAGAATAGATGAGAAAGATAAGCTTTTGTGCTAATTAATTAAAAAAAAAAAAAATTAGAGATTTGGGTTATACAAGTTAGAGTTCCCCAAGCAAGAAACAATTGGATGTTAACAAGAAGTTAAAAGTACTTATCAACATTCAAATTATTTTGATATTCATGAACAAACAATGTCCTACCTTATTGGCAAATAGCAAAATAAATTAAAATAGATTAGTCTTCTGATATATGAGAATGTACCATTTGTTAGAAGACTGATACATTAGAGTCCTCTTCTTAGACCCACACAAAAATAATGTAGTATTTTGGGATACGACATAAGCGTATTTAGGGCATTCTTCTAGAAGATTGATCAAATGTCAACATGATGATTACAATTTGTAAATAAACTACAATATGTCTAAGCGACACACACGTATTTATGTTCTGCTGTTAAATTATACTGTGTCACTCTAACTTTATACATGAAGATTATAGTTAAGAGTAATATGTACAACGAAAAATATCATATCTTCTAACACTAGAATAAAATTTCTTACAATTTATTTTTTTCATGCCCTATTGTGAAATCTTGATCATCATTACACTACCAACACAAGAATCCAGGATAAGGTTTGTACATGTATGAACAAGTGAATTATCTTCAAATTGTGGTAGGGTAAAGGAAATGATGAAATTTGAAAGGAAACATGCGAGGTTCCTATGATGTGGACACAATCTACTATAATCTAACTCTTGTAATGGTGGATGTTTTTGGTCCAAAAATTGGTGGGGGTATAGTACCACTTTATCGGAGGAAGGTACAACTGCTGTCCTAACTGTCTGATCAATACCTTTTGTTTTGAATTTGTTTGACATCTACAAAGGAAATTGTTAGACTGGGTTTACTCAGTCGATTTAATTGAAAAAAGTTGTAAAGGTACTTGTCAAAAAAAAAAAAAAAAAAATTTAAACCCATTGAAACACAAAGAATTGGCCGCCTCAAGTCCAAAATTTAATTGGTTTATTCTTATATTTTTCAATTTTTTTACATGGTATGTTTGGTAGGATGATTGTGCATTTTAGTGTTCTATCTTGTAGAGTATTGTATATCAAACTCACAAGCAATATCATTTGAAGTTTATATATTATCATTTTGTAATACCTTAAGATTTAAAATCCCTTTTGTTTGAATAGAGTTAGAGTATTGTATATCAAACTCACTCGTAATTTTATTCAAAGTTTATATAATATAATTTTGTAATAGCTTAAGATTAAAAATCACTTTTGTTTGAATACAATCAGAGTATTGATCTTACAGTCTTGAAAATATCTAACTTGCACCTAAAAATAATGTTATTTTGCAAAACAACTTTTTTTTTTTAATACCTTAAGATTTAAAATCCCTTTTGTTTGAATAGAGTTAGAGTATTGTATATCAAACTCACTCGTAATTTTATTCAAAGTTTATATAATATAATTTTGTAATAGCTTAAGATTAAAAATCACTTTTGTTTGAATACAATCAGAGTATTGATCTTACAGTCTTGAAAATATCTAACTTGCACCTAAAAATAATGTTATTTTGCAAAACAACTTTTTTTTTCCCTATTAGAGAAACGGGGCTTCAAGTTTTCAGGAAGAGCCTTACGAAGGCAGCTCACGTACGATTAGAGAGCCGAGCCCCAACGTAGGGCCTCATTTCACCAATTAACCGTGTCTCAATTGATTAAAAATTGTTATTTCCATAGCTAAGATCGAGAATTTAAAATCTAGTCCTCTCCCTCTAAAAAAAAAAAGTTCTCGATTACATGATCTCTACCCTTAAACTTGGCCATTTGTATAAAATCAAAGAAGGAAAATATTCCATTTGTATAACAATAATAAAATAAACTTTGTATTCGATAAATTTGTCGATAACAAGTTATATTGTCTTTGATCTACTCTTTCTTGCAATTTGTATGCAAAAATTAAAAAAATTGTTGCAAGAGCATAAACCTTATCGGAAACATCTTGCTACAATCCACTACAATTATCTTTATTTGAGCCAATAGCTGAAAATCATAATTTCGCCCAATAAACAAATTTTCACTTAAAATACTATTTATTTGGTATATACTATAAAGTATTCCACAACACAATTTGATTGTATGTGCAAAATGCTTTGGACATTTGAATTGAATTAATTAATGTTCTAATCATTGGTACGAACCTTGACTTGTAAAATGAAAAAGGTCAAATATTAAAGAGTCTAATCGATCATTAGAATTAAGCACCTGTTTGATCCTCATTTTCGGGATAAAATGCATTATGAAATAGTAATTTTTGAAGAATGTGTGGTTAAAAAGTAAGGAAATTTTTTTGAAATACGCGTATAATTGTTTTATAGAAGAATACGTGGTTGAAAATGAATTTTGAAAAAATACATTCTTAAAAAAGGGGGGATCGAAGGGGGACTAAATAAACAATTTTTTGCCCTTGTTTGGTACAAATTAAAATTCAAATTTTAGTCTAAATTAAAGTCAGCAATTAATTTTAACCACACATTTCACGAGACCTACAACTTTTTAACCTCACATTTCAACAATTTTTATCAAAATCTACTAAAAATCTGATTTTAATCTTCATCAAACATGGGATAAATAAAATTGACTTTAACCAATCAATTGTAGATTCAACTCCGATAGGATTTACTACGAACAAGACAATTTTGACATTGAACCGGTTGATTCTTATGTTATTTATTTTTAGCCCCCATTTGGCCTCATTCTTTTCAAATTTTAATAGTTGGAATAATGTTTTTTTGAAAACAGTGTGGTTGAAAAAGAATGGAAAGTTTTTTATTTGTGTGTAATATTATTTTATGAAAAATTGTATGGTTGAAAATAAGAGAGAAAAAGAATGAAAAAGAGAATGGGGTCAAACGGGGCTTAATTTCTTTGTTCTGGTTTATAATCAAATAGTTTTTGTACTATTCATTTTTATTTTTTTCTAGGTGAACGACCAACAACAATTGAATCTGGTTTGTGACATGACATTCTAAGAGCAACAAACCTTATTGCTTTTTCTTCAAAAATGTTCAACCATCAATATTGACCATAATGATAATTTACTCTTACGAAATAGAAAAGTTTTACATGACATTATTCTTTACCTAATTGAGTGCTTTTGAATCATAAAAATTTGTTGCATAATGACCTTACAAATGTGTAATAAATTTCATCTTATATTAATTTTCAGAATATCTATACTTTACAATATTTACTTTTGTAATGCAATTTTATGCTCGCTTCAACTATCATAATTAAAAAGAAGTAACGAAGCGTATACATTAAAAATAGGCATAAACTACACTAGTGACATCCAAATCCATAAGTTAAATATCAAATTTTAACTAATAAGCACAATTTCCAGAATTATAATCCCATTTGCAAAATGGTAATGAAATGAGAACAAGAACAAGACATTCAAATGGAGATGTAGCTACCTATGAATCACACATCGATGGGGGCACAAGTTGAATGGCCATGGTAAGCAAATCTTACAAGTTAATCAAAAGAAATTTCCCCTCTTTGCACCTCACCTACCACCACTCCCCATCTCTCCCCATCAGGCCATGGTAAGTAAAATACAATATTGTTATATGTACATCAAGATTTATATAATAATTTACACAATGTCACATTGCATTATATCATCGGACAGTTTAAAATACAGCCAATTTTTTCCTCCAATCATTTTCCTCCAACTCATCTTCTGACATTGCTTCCGAACGATTTCTTCTAATAAAGTAGATTAATTTAGCAAATCATGAAATTGAATCAAAAGAAAGAATTATTTTGGATGAACAGGGCCACCTGTGGGCACCCCCTATAGGTGGGATGAAGAGGTCCAACGTGACCCTGTTCATCTAACACACCATTTTGCACCCCCATCGCACACTCCCTCGCCGCCAGGTTAGGACATGGTAAGAGGCTAAGAGAACGTGATTTCACATAAGAAAAGGGTGCCAACCAAGAAATTCTAACGCTTTGCTACCAGAATCCACTGTAGTAACTGCTGTGAACAATGCACAAAACCCAGAAAAATAAATTTCAAATATGATTTTTAAGCAAAAATAAATTCTATGAATTGTAATTTTATTTTTATTTTTTTGAAGAAACATATGTACCTATATACGAAGAGGTTTTAAGTAGCCTTTCAATGAGCTTTCTGTCTATAAGGCTATCATCAACAGCAAGAACGTGAAACTGTGAGTCTGAGGCAGCCATTCCCATTCCTCTAAATTCAATCTTCAATACCAGAATATGAATTTCAAGAAGAACACGAGAGAGACAGGTGAGAGAGCAACAATGTCTCTTTGAATATTAGAGGGATTGTGTTTGGATTTTGAAGAGGAAATGGGGTTTTGTTGAATAGAAATAAGACTCGAGAAAATCCACAACCCACAAAGCAAGATCTGACCAAATTGCATCCAAAGATTTTGCAAGATTTTTCCAACTTGGAATTGAATTTCAAGGCAAGCAATAGGATGTGTAGGCGGTTATATATATATATATATATATATATATATATATATATATATATATATATATATATATATATATATATAACCGCCTACACATCCTATTGCTTGCCTTGAAATTCAATTCCAAGTTGGAAAAATCTTGCAAAATCTTTGGATGCAATTTGGTCAGATCTTGCTTTGTGGGTTGTGGATTTTCTCGAGTCTTATTTCTATTCAACAAAACCCCATTTCCTCTTCAAAATCCAAACACAATCCCTCTAATATTCAAAGAGACATTGTTGCTCTCTCACCTGTCTCTCTCGTGTTCTTCTTGAAATTCATATTCTGGTATTGAAGATTGAATTTAGAGGAATGGGAATGGCTGCCTCAGACTCACAGTTTCACGTTCTTGCTGTTGATGATAGCCTTATAGACAGAAAGCTCATTGAAAGGCTACTTAAAACCTCTTCGTATATAGGTACATATGTTTCTTCAAAAAAATAAAAATAAAATTACAATTCATAGAATTTATTTTTGCTTAAAAATCATATTTGAAATTTATTTTTCTGGGTTTTGTGCATTGTTCACAGCAGTTACTACAGTGGATTCTGGTAGCAAAGCGTTAGAATTTCTTGGTTGGCATGAAGATGACAGAAGAAACACAGATGGAACTTATGTTTCTCCTCAAAACCATCAGGTAAATTTATTTATTTATTAATCTTTTCCGATTTTCTATTCGTTTCATTTTCTTAGGTTGAAAGATTTATGGGAATTGCCTAGGATGTTACTTTTCTACGTTGTCTCAAATTAAATTTCTTTGTATTTACAGGAAGTGGAAGTAAATCTTGTTATTACAGACTATTGTATGCCTGGAATGACAGGCTATGATTTGCTCAGGAAAATAAAGGTATACTTTCTTTGATTCTATTCTATCTTTTTATGTCAATTCTTCCAATATATTGTGAGAAATTTCGGGTTGTGCTTCAAAGTTATTTTTCTAGAAAAGCTGAATACGTATGAATAGGTAGTAATCAACCCCTCGGAAAAGTAAATTGACTGACTTTTATACGTAAGTACATGTGCTCTTAAGTCTTATTTTCAATTAACAGATTAGACTGCATATAATAGCGTTTTGTTAGATAGGAATAGATTTGATAAATACTCAAAAAAAATTTCTCGATTATGAGACACATTACAATTTCGTATGAGTCCCCAAAATAAAATGAAAAAAAGTTAGAGGGGGGGTCAAACTGCGACTATTAGGCCGCTCCTTCTATAAGAAAAAATGATTTTGCATCTTTTCCAAGACTTCATTTTTCATTTTTGGAAAATATTCTTCCACAAAATTTGCCAATTCAAACATTATCAATCTGGGATTTTGACGTATTCTGAAAAGTTGTCTACATGGGTCATTTTCCCATCATTCATTTGAGATCAATAGAATCTTAGAAAAATCTTTATCCCACCTAATTTTGGTAATTTCATATTGAAAGGGCATTTATTAAATCCACATGGTCACTCTATTGCTTCAGGCTTTTATGATTTTTTTTCATGGCATAAATCTACTTGAAATAACATCTGAAAAGCTACTTTTTTTAAAATAAATTTTGCATTCATTGAACTTAGTTATCAAGGATCTAATTTGATTTTAAATAAATCTAGCAATGGATTGAACTAATCGAAGAAAAATGCATATAGTCGAATCATGAATTTATTGAAAGTTGTGGCGTTTATTTCTGTAACGAATTAGATAAATTGGTCTTTTAGTAGATCAAACAGAACAAAGAAAAAAATATTCATTTAGCCGATTCCAAATTTGTTCAAAATTACCTGCAGTTTGTTGTTACATAAATTTCTCTGGAGAACAACTTTAGTAAACTAGTGGGCTACCTTTTGTTCTGCAGGAATCTTCATCTCTGAGAAACATACCAGTAGTCATTATGTCTTCTGAGAATGTTCCCTCAAGAATCAATAGGTAAGGATAATTTTACATTTGGATGTATTTTCAGTAAATTTGGAGTCGACTATGTAAATTATTTGTCGGTCGACCAGCTTATGAATTGTCACTTATACAGATGCTTAGAAGAAGGAGCCGAGGAATTTTTTCTCAAGCCAGTGAGATTGTCGGATGTAAATAAGCTTAAACCCCATATGATGAAAGCTAAGAAGCAGGAAAAAAGAGAATCGACCCCGCCGCCACCGCCACCGCCGCCGCCGCCTCCACTATCACAGCCACTGCCTCTTCCACCACAATCACAGCCACCAGTGCCGCCACCACAATCGCAGCAGCAGCCACCACAATCGAGTAATAACAAGAGGAAGGGCATGGATGAAGGGCTTTCCTCCCCGGACCGAACAAGACCTAGATACAATGATCTAACTGTGGTGTCTATTTGATCATCATAGCAAATAATTTTCTTCTTCACAATTTGAAAATTTTTAATGACAATTTTTCTGTCTTAGTTGAAATTAGTGGTTAATACAAACATTAAGAGGCATGTACAGAGAGAGACATCTAGAGTTTCATAAATATGAAGAAAAATCTGTACACATATTACATGAAAAACTTCCATCCGATTTTGTTTTTCTTATTAAAGGAGAATTATTTTTGATCAGACGAACACCTTTAGGGTAGCCTAGAATGCAATATTTTTATATTTTTGTTAAGGGCTCTGGCTTGACCAAGTCTTGGAAGAAATAATGAGTTCTTAGTATAGCCCGAATTGGCAAGTTGTCGTGTTAAGCACCTTTTTTGTTTTTTTGTTTTTTTTTCTCATTTTTTTATTGATTTATGTAAAAAAAAACAAGGTCATGAATGGACTATGGACATTGTCACCTAGATCGTTTTAGACCCTTCTGTTTAGGGGGTATTTACATAGACTGATGATATAAATACGTAGATCGTGTGGTTAAACCCTCGATGAATCGTGTTTACATATCATCTAGGTTGTGCATAGACTGCAAACATAGGTATCTAGATAGTGTTAGACCCTCGATATATTTGTGTATTTTACGCCCTTGGTCAAACAATAACATATAAAAACTTGGACAATTTTATGGCATTTATTAAATTCCATTTCTATGGACAATCATGTGTCAATATTCGTTGTACCATGAATATAACACGTTGTAGTACATGCTTCTTGATGGGTCTTTTTTTGACTTGTAAATGTTAAAGCTTCAAAGGATTTTCTTTTTAAAGGAGGGAAAATGCCAAATAAAATATTGAGTTTGAAACAATATTAACTGTTGAATACTTATTCTTCTTTATAAATTGAGGTCTATTTAAGCGTTTTAATATCCTAACCATATTTTTATTTGCCAAATAAAATATTGGGTTTGAACAATGATGACAATATTAACTGTTATAAATTTAATTTTCATATGAAGTACTGATGTCATATTTCGATAGCACTTGTTTTAATACTTTTGAGTGATCATTTTGACAAAATCAATGTAGTTATTAAATATGACATCTTAATTACACCCGGTTTGTTTGTTTGTTTGTTTTTTTTTTTTTTTTTTGAGTTTAGACTTCATGCTGTGTTTTCTCATAGAACATGAGTAAGTAAATTACTGATCAAGTGTTCACAAATAAATAAAAATGAGTTGTGGACAGGCGGATAGTATTTGTAGATCCCACAAAATGTGCGGATAGAAAATGATTTGAATTTTATAAACATATATATATATATATATATATATATGAGCCAAACTTAGGGTAAAACCAGTTAGTTTACATTATTTATTTATTATTATTATTTTTTGCTTATTAAATTCTTTTTGTCTCTCTTTCGACTCTTTGATCTCAATCCTTTCCATTTTTCAAGTTAATGTTCAGTTATAAGTTAAAAAGACCCCTTTTTTTCCCCCCTTTATTGCTACCCCCATAGTAAGATAAAAGAAGTTTCATTTAGCCCCCCCAGGGCACATCCTAACTGGTAAAGATGAGGGCGCTTCAAGACTGGCAGATCAGAGGTCGTGAGTTCGATTCCTGAAAGGCTTTTGGAAGGCAGATATTCTCCTAAAAGGTATGATTTATCCTGAAAGGCAAGGTGCAAAGATGAGAAACGACTTGCTTGGCACTTTGGCAGATCAGTTGGGGGGCTCTTGAGCACTGGTCAGTTTGGGGCACAACCTGTGGTTTAACCTATCTGTAGCTTGAGGGACCAAAGTGTAGACTCCAAGATTTAGTCACTGTAAGGTAGATACTTGGATATATTAAAAAAAAAAAGTTTCATTTGTATCAAAGCCCATGCAACAAAAAAAAAAAAGAAAAAAAAAAAGAGTAACAGATGTGGATAATTTTTAACCAAGTTGAGCTAGCCAACGACCCAAATGATCCAGTCAACTCCCAAACAGTAATTCTGAAGATTGATTTTGAGTAGCTATCCCCCTAAACTAATGTTACACCTGCCATTAGCCACTTTAAAAATGTAGTGACACACTATAAATTAGAATTAGAATTAAGCTATATGTAAAATGTTAGTTGACAAACATTGTTGACAATATTTAAGGTGGCGAAATTTGGACCAATAACTTAGAAAACAGTATTTGATAATTTAAAAAATGGATAAATGTGATAATGTCAACAAAGGTTGTCATCCATGATTGTACAAATAGCATAATTGTCAAAATTAGAGTTTTGCTACATGTACATTATGATGTACACTTTAATTTACATTTTACCACATCACATTATCATATTGAATAATTGAAATTTCAAACAGTTTTTCTAACAATTTAAGTGTCAAAAATCAGTATACAAATAATAAAGTTCTTAAAATTATGCCTCTTGTACATTGTCGGATGACAACTTTTTTGACAGCCCGTCTATGTGTAGAGATTTTGGCCATTGATTGAAAAAAAAAAGTATTGTTAAACTTGATATACATGTGGCATGATTGAATAATAATTATTTCATATCATCTACGTTGTCGATATGGAGTTGATTTATTCTATATTGGCAAGACATGAATTTACATTATTTGTAATTTCGAAAACCAGATGCACATTAGCTGAAGAATTTATTTTATTTATTGTCATCTAAATGCTGAAACCAACTTAAAATGGAAGTATTCAGCCTTTGAATGAGTGCCGTGTATATTATTTTCAACTATATCAGGCTTTGAAGAAAAGACTATCCAATGATCGATAAAATTCTCCTCACTTTTTTAGGAATTGTTACGCTTATAAATTATCATCCCATATTGGACCATCTTATTGGACCTGAACGAGGCCCATAGAATTGCCTCCAAAGTCGAGGCTCTAAAGAGGCCAGCCGAAGCGCTACCGAGGCCCTAAGAAGTCCAGTTGAAGCACCTGCCGAGGTGCCTATTATTATGCTTATATAATCACCTCCTTATTGAGCTTGGACTTAGGTCCACTAACCCGTTTAACCCATTTCACTCACATTTCTCTATATATATGAACTCATTCACACAATTATGATAGGTCTTAACTCTCTAGCCAAATCCTCAATTTCCATTCTATTGCACTCTATATATATTTTGTCCGGCCGTTTACTTGATTATCGGAGTGCAAACGGTCATCGGACATTTTTCTCGATCAATGGTCTTAACTCTCTAGCCAAATCCCCCATCTCTCTATTATTGCATTCTATATATTTATCTTCGTCCGGTTGTTGACTTGGCCGTCGAAGTGCAAACGATCGTCGAAACTTTTTCTCGTTTGGCCACCTTTGCCTCTTGATGGGGTGCTACGTGCGCAAGTTTCTAGGGAACGAGGCCAAACATCTATTGGAGCCATTTTTGGAGGTCAACAAGAATCACAAAATTGTACTATCATTCCTTGAATTAAAGTTCAATTTTGTGAGATAATAAACACCATTATATGTCAATGTAAAAAAAAAATATTTGTGCCCCATAAGCATGGCATAATGGTAAAGTAGGAGTGTTTCATACGGAGCATCAGAAGTTCGAATATCTGCGACAGCTGGAATGCAACGTTTATGTTGGAAGGCAGTTGTCCTGTGAAGGCAAATTTATGGTGCGCTTTGTTACCCCTACGGGGGTCCTATTCGCACATTCTAAAGGGGGGTCTACAGGAAGAGGAACTACATTTCGAATGTTCAGTCCAAGTGTGTATAAGCTGTGAATCCCTATGACTGTATTCGAATTTACCTGGGTGTCGAATCACGTGGAAGGCTGTCACTTCTCAGTATTAGTCAGGCAAAACTTGAAACCTAAGTTATAAAAAAAAAAAATAAATAAATAAAATTGCCTCAATACCATAGAAGGAAATACATATAGCGTGAGAAAAATAATACCAATGCCTCGTTAGAATCCGTCTTATTAAATTTAAATTTAAAAGGAGAAAAACGATACTTTTTTTTATTTTTATTTTTTTAACAAAGAATATAAAATATGTTTGAGCGATTTATTCTTTGTTACCTGTAATAGAAAAGATTTTTTTATTTTATTTTAAAGACTGGCCTATAATAATTATTAAAATAAGTAAATAACTCATTTTTGCAACTTTAATCAAAATAAATGTTTATTCTAAATTTACATGGTGTCCCCCTTTAAGATTTTGATGTATTTTAAAGATGATCAATTCTAATGAATTTCATGAATTTGATTAAATTTTTATAAATTCGATAAAAATCTCATCAAATATGGTCAAATTTTAAAATATTTGATTATATGTATTTTTAAGCTTGAAATTCATCCAAATTTTTAAAAATTCGTATATTAAAGAAATCTTTATAAATCAACTAGTTATTGAAATACTTAAATTATAAAGAATTTCATTATATTCAATTGGAACTTTTGAAGATTTTGATGGACTTTTTTTAAATGATGATTTTTGTGGATTTCGTGGATCTTTTATAAATTTGTATGGAATTAGTGGAAGTTTTTCGTAGACTTCTGTGGACTTTCATTTTAAAATTGTTATAGACTTTTGTAGAATTTGAAAGACTTTTGAAGACTTTTATTTGAAATATAATTCATGTGGATCTAATACAATGGTGAAAAATTCTCATATACGAGGTGTTAGTTCTCACAATTTTCCTTCTTCCCATATAATAAAAAATTTTGAAAAAATAAAAATTTAAGACCTTAATTAAATAAATAATAATAAAAATTATACATATATATGATTCAATATTATTAGTATAGTGTACTTTTAAAAATAAATAAAAATCAATATATTTAAATTTAATTATTAAAAAAATAGATATTTTTCACAAAAATGAATGAGAAAAGAAAAAAGAAAAACCTACAAGAATCAAATTTAATTTTTTTTATAGAAAATAACGATAAATTATAAGATAGAGAAAGAAATATAAATGGAAATAAATATAATCAATGGAAAAAATAAATTTTAATCATACATGTCCGTAGAAATTTAAAGGAAAAAAGATTGGAAAAAAATTTGCGAAAGTCTTTCAAAATCTCGTGATTAATGAGAGACAAATTTTAAAATTTTATATGAGTACTTTTTATTTTAAAGTTAGTACTCCAGATACTTTTATAAAAGTCTTTAAAAGTCATTAAAATTTGAGTACCCTAAGACTTATGGAGGCTTTTAAAAGATTTTAATTGAATACATCGTAATTTTTAGAAACTTTTTAAAAGTTTATGAAAGTCTCAATTGAATACAACGTGACTTTTAGAGATTTTTTAAAAGTTTATAAAAGTCTCAATTGAATATACTGTGATTTTTAGAGAGTCTAAGAAAGTCTCAATTGAATATTTTTAAACTTTTAAATCTCAAAAATTTATTAAAAGTTTCAATTGAATAGGCCCCCTAAATTTTTAATTGAGAATACCTAAATTTTAATAAATTAAAATTCATTAAAATCTAAAATTGAGAATATGTAAATTTAGAAGGATTTTTAAAAATCCGTATACTATTAAACTTTCTAAACTTAGACCGGTACTGTCCTTTTCTTACACCAAGCAGTACACAGATCACAAATGTCCCGATATTATAGGTTGCACGTTGTGGAATGAATCTTGTACATTGCAATGGCAATTTCAAAGTTTTCTTGAAATTATAAAGTTCTGGACATTCGACCCACAATTGGTAAAGCCAGTAATTACTAGAGGTGCCTCAAATTCTGATAAAATTTATGGTAAGACAATTCATACATATTTTCCAACTTGATATTTACATCTTATATGTAATTATATGCATGTTCTGATGTATATGTGATGTGATCTTGTATTTTTTGAATTTTTTGCGGCTGAATATTGATGGGTTCATGTTTTGGGCTAAAGACTTAATTTTTTTTCGTGGTGTTTTATTGAATTTTGTGTTTCTTTCAGAGTTGTTAATTATTGCCATTTTAGAACCAATTAATGAATTATCAAAACAAAAAGTATTTCTTATGTGTTTGTCTTTATTGAGAAGTATAGAACTTTAATGGAAGAAGTTTCAGTTTTCAAATTGGTTTTATCATATATTATCTATACTGAGAATTAAGGGGATATTCTGGATTATAGAGTACAAACTCGCAGTTCATCCTACCGGATTATGAGGGGTGATTGAGCATTGATTAAGGTGTAGTTCAAAGGCACGGAGTACCAAATTGGCTAAAGATTTTTTTTTTCCTGGTGTTTTATTGAATTTTTGGTGATTTAAGAGTTATTTTATTACATATTAGAACCAAATTCCTCAGAGAGATGTTAGCAAAAGATGATCTTTATTAAAACGAAAAACATACATTAAGTATATGTTTTAAATGAAAAGTTTCTTGAAATCTTTAACTTTAGATTTCTGAGGAAGTGAAGGTGTAATAAGAAGTATAATACTCTAATAGAAGAAGGTTTTGCTTTTAAAATTGGTTTTATAATTTTTCATTTACGCTGAGAATTAAGGAGATATCCTAGAATTCACAGATTTTTAAGTAATAAGCTCACAATTCATCTGACAGAATTAAGAGAGGGATCATTGAGCATTGACTAAGGTGTAATTCAAAAGCCTGGATACCAATTTGGTTTGATGCCAGGAGTCGTGTTTTTTTTCTTTTTTAATAGGTAATCAGGTAATTTTATTAATCAAAAGAAAATATACAGGAAGTGTATTATCAATTTAAACAAGAAAGAAACAATTTGAAATGATGCCAGAAGTCATGTTGTGGAAGTAATGATTTTTTTTTTTTTTTTTTTTGGAGATTTATGGAATATATAGAAAAGAAACAAAATGACATTTGATTTTTATTGATCAAAAAATATTTTATGATAGTATGTCCAGACAAGTGTTATTGTCAGTGGTAGAGTGAAGAAAGTCATTAGATGTGTTAATATTATTAACATAAACTCAAGCAGTAATGAGTGTAGATCTAGTAATGTTGCAGGTGAGATTATCCCATTAAGTTTATGAAACATATTTAAGATGAGATCCCTCTTATCCTTTTGTGTTAGTTATAGATGAGTTTACGAGACAAACTCAATTGGAGGTCCCTCTTATTCAAGACGAGGCCCCTTGGTTTACTTTTTATTAACGGTGACATTTTGTTTATACTTAATGAAGTAAATCGTAAAATGGAACTTGAATGAACACTGTGTAATGTAATTGTTTCTTTTGTGTTAAGTAGAATTAACATGGAACATCTTATCAAAAAAAAAATAATAATAATAATAAGAAATAAATAAAAAATTAAGATGGCCAGAGCCTCTATAAAGGATCATATTGTCCTAAGGAGGATCTGGGCCATTGTAATGTAGTAAAAACAAGAATATTAGATGGATGCGTGAATATGATAAAATGAATAAATAGAAAATAAGAATAGACATTAATCAGCTTAGGTGGTACCAATTAAGGATAAACTAGGGAACGTCAGTTTAGATGGCTGAATTATGTAGTGTAAACCTAAAGAAGCTTGTCACAAGAGCTATCAAACTCACTGGAAAATGTTAGATAAGAGAGCTACATTAAGATTAGAATGGATTGACGTGGTTGCAAAAGATATGGCCTTATTGGACTTCTGATAGATGCAGCGATAAATTGAATGGTGAATGCAATGATGAATAATATTCTTGTAACTGAACCTAAATTTATTTAGAACAATGTTTGGTTTGTAGTATGTACTAAAAAATTCTAAAATTGTTAGTGTGGCTATTCAGTTGTACCATCAACCATTAATTCCTTTGTCATTATACCTTTTCTTCATGCATTTATTAGGAGATCTAAACCTGTTGAGTGCTGTACTTTTCCTGCTTGTCCTTTTTCCCATTCTCCTTTCAGTCCTTCACGTGTTATTCATCTAATGAAATGCAGAAATGCTTCAAGTATCATAGATTGCATCTCTAGATCTGTAAGCTAAAGCTGGAGAAAAGCCTCGTTGAGGTACTGTGACATAAAAATCTAATCGCCTAAAATTTTAGTGTTTATCTGGTTGGCAGAGTTTCAAAATGTCCAATGGAGAAGTTAGAAAAGTCTCACTTGAAGATATACAGCTGGTAAGTTGTCTTGCTTGAAGAACTGAGTTTTATGGGTTAATCGAACTGCTCGACTGATGAGTGTGCTATCACTAAATGAATCACCTTTCTTATCCACAAGCTGGGATTTCAGTATAAAGGTTTTTAGGTATTATTAGTAACTTTGTTTCTTGTGCTACATTTTGGTTATAATCTGAAATAATGATTTACTGGGAATCTAAATATTTGGTATTACACATTTGCTTTACCCTCTCATCAAAAGTCTGGGTTGCAATTTAACTGGTACTCAGGAGCTGGGAGGGGTTGAAATATACTGTTATATATATGATCCTATTTTTTTTAATAATATCAATGTAATAAATACTGCACTGGAGATTGTTTTTAAATTTTGTTGGTATTATAAGGCACTGGTACTATTTGCTCTTAAGTATCTTATTCGAATTATCACGTTAAATTTTATTTACAAGTCAAATAAACAGATTCTTATGTCGATAGATCTTTCTTAATGAGTAAACCAAAATCCCAATAATTATGATACAAAGACTAATTTATTTGAACAATACATTGATTCCTCCAAAAGAAATTAATTTTATGTACTTCATCATTTTTATGTAAAGCATAGAAAGGTTTCTCGTTGAAAAATAAAAGAGGCAATAGTTTAAAGGGTACAAGGTTGAGATAAACAATATCATTGCCTTCCATTTGAACCATAAATTTACCTCTACTCCCTTCTCCAATCTTTCTCCCATACTAGCATGCACAACATGAAGTTTTTCTTAAAATTGGCCTCAATCCCTATGATTTCTTATCCCATTTACTGTTATCATTATCACAATCACTATAATTGAAGATCAATTGATAATTGAGGATTAGGATTAGTGAACATTTATCTGCTGGTAGAGAATAAAGGATTGAATGACAAGATGCTGTTGATTTGTTATTTTGAAGAAAATCTGTGATGAGAAATGGAGAGTGATTAGCAATTTGCGTGATCTATGCATGGCCTTTCCGTGTTTTTGTTGTGAAAGAAATTCTAGAAAGCTTATGGTGGACTGAACTTTTCAATACTGGTAGAATCAAAAACCCATTCACGTGAGATGAGATTGACCATTATTTAACTAGGTGCAAAATTTGTGTAGCTCGATATCTAAATGTCCAGTACAAGACATCTGACCGTCATTGGCCAATACAAAAAGAATTTTTCACACTGATTATATTCTCTTGAAGTAAATAAATTTACTGTATTGAACATATTTGGTTTCCTGAAGGATGGCATTGCCAACTTAGATTTTTTAAGGACCAAGTATGTTTCTTCATAGCTAGGTTTTGATTATTGTACTTCTAGCAGACATCGATTCAAAATATTTTCAGCAAAATAAGCATCTTTAGCAGCCCTCCTTTTCTTATGTGTTCTTTTAGTATCTGCTAACATGATTGAGAACTTACTTTTATCATCTTTTTACCAGGTCCAAAATCTTATTGAAAGGTGTCTTCAGCTTTACATGAGCCAGAAGGAAGTTGTGAGCACCCTCTTACGCCAGGCAAAAATCGAGCCTGGTTTCACTGAGCTTGGTAGTCTCAGTTTCTCGATTATAAGTTTTTTTTTGTCTATCTCCCTTTTTTTCTCCTCGGGTTCTTCAAAGTTTTGAATTGAGGCATTTTGCAGAACAAGGAGATAATCATGCATAGTGTATAAACAAAGAATGGAAATCAAGTTAATCAAATAAGCAATTCAAGCTAAATAAAAAATTAGATCAATCCTAATTGACTTTAGATTAATCCAGCATACCCTAAATTCCTAATTTTGTAAAACCCTTATCCTTGACCATTTCCAACAATTGTTATGACTTGTTACTGAGAAGGTAAGTATTTGGTATGCAATGTACTTTCTCATACTGAATGAGAACTTTGAGATAGCATTTTATGAGTATTTAGAATGTAGTGCTAACTGAAGTTGTATCTGTTTTGATTGTTTCACAAGATGATATAATTGTGATGAACTCGCATCTCCTTTGGTCTTGTGTTTTGATCACGTCCTCACTTTCTGCACCTATCCATTTTTTTTTCCTTCAAAAAATAGCGAAGAATATGGCCTAGCTGAAAAAACACAGTCACGAGGTGTGATAGACATTACAAAGACTTCCAGTGTATGGAAGGATATCAAAATTATCAACTGGGAACCAGTCTTGTGAATTTTTATTCCTGCCCTTAATATTGCATGTAAATTGAAATTTATTTATATAATTTTTTATTCTTCTTCCAGTGTGGCAAAAACTTGAAACTGAAAACCAACGATTTTTTGAGGCATATTATCTAAGGTTGTTAGTGAAGGAGCAGATATTGCGATTTAATCAGTTGCTTGAAAGACAGGTTGAGCTAATGCCCCAAATATGTCCAACTGGAGTTGCTTCTACTCCACTGTCAAATGAATCTCAGATTCACCCAAGTAAGCTCGCTTCTTGATATGTACAAGTTTTCTTTATTACAAAAAACAACCAGATAAATAGGGTGCTTCTTTTGGCCTCCACTCCACTATCCTAAATTGACAAACCACAGTTTTCTTAATTATAGATAATAATTGATCCCAGATAAACAGACGATTCTTGAAACTTTAGAGCATATTTTGTATGCAATACTCAATATGATTAGCCAAAACTCAAAACTACGCTTAACTAGATTTTAGTTGCGTCTTTATTTACTTAATAGTGTCTAATTCTATCTAAACAATTTTACCAAACGTGTCTTAAATTTTATGCCATTCTTTACTGTGTATTTAGCAACAAATGCAGTGACGTCTGTTCACACACACACTTGAATACATACCCATACATGAATATTGAACCCTGAAAAATTTTATTTATGCACATCCATGACTAGGGCCCGTTTGGTAGTGTTTCCGCTTTTGCTCTTCTAGAAGACAAAGCATTTCCAGAAAATTAAAAGCAGCTTCTTAATCTTAAAAGCAACTTTTGACTTTTCAAAAGTCTTGCCAAACTAGTCCTTAGTGTCGTAGTACAAGCTAATATTGCTTTTTCTAATTTCATTGCTATTTTATCTGCAATTACACGAGCTTAACTTGAATAGAAAATTGTTTTGATTACATTTTGGCAGTGCATAACAACTTGGCTTACCTTACTCCAGAACATACTGGAGCTTTGAAGCCAGAAAGCATGGACCATGCTATTAGTATCGTACCTAATGCTTACACTAATGGTGCATCCTCGCGACAGCCATCCGTCCAAATTCCTGTCAATATTGTATCAGACGACATGCTATTGGCTCAGAGTTCGAATTCAGGAACAATACAGGGAATAGATGGTGGAATAATTAAAACTGAAGAAAGCTATTCAGGTGATTCGCCTTTTATTTTTGGTGGAGACAATAATCTTCTGGAAACTCATAATGGAATAGGAGATGCATCTATTTCGTCTTTCGGTTCTGTGGTGTCCAATTCAGAACCTTTGAATGAGAATATTATGGAAGCCGATACAAATATGTTCGGATTCTTGGGACAGATTCCTCGAAACTTCAGCTTGTCTGACCTGACTGCTGACTTTTCGAACAGTACTGGTTAGTTCTCTCTCTCTCTCTCTCACTCTCACTCTCACTCTCACTCACTCACTCACTCACACTCACACACACACACACACAAAAAAAATAAATCAATGTATCATTGATCTAGGGAACTTCTCCGGCGCAAAATGTGGGGTAAAAAAAACTGTCAAGTCACTCAAACTTATGACTAAGGAACTTTATTTTGTTTCTAAGTGGCCGCTGATATTCTTTTCATTTCAATACAAGCCACTCAGTAAAAAATATGTTAGTTTCTCTAATGGAATGTTTGATGTGGAATATGTGTACGTTAAAGCCATGTCAGATTGTCGTCTTCAACCTTGGACTCCACTAGAAAAATTAATGGATTTTAACAGCAACTAAACTTAAACGAAGAGAAATTTTTAGTGACAACTTTGAATAAAATTAGCGACTGACATGAAACTTTACAATAAATTGAGTTACTAACAGTGTTTTTGACCCGCAAAATGTAATTAGTACGTTAGTTTGAGTAATCTCTTCTGGTTATTAACTTGCCAAATTTTCGTGTTCATGAATTATATGATTTACCATCTTCAGATATATTAGAGAGCTATTCTAGATCTCCCTTCCTAGGAACGGATACAAACTTTTTGGATCTTGATATTAAGGAAGAGCAGCAAGGTACGAGTTTCGACCTTTGACATTGTTTTTGGCATATTAAGAATGTAGCCCATATATATGATCTATATGTGAGCAGACAATAACAAAGTGGACACTATATCTGAGGGATTGAGTTACGAAGATTTTGGCAGTGATTGATTGAATAGTTCAAACGGTAAACCTCTATCCATTTTCACATTAACTTTTAGATTCGTCTCTTCCTTTTTCATGCTATTATGAGTCTGTACTGTTCGATTAATAATATATGGTCTAAATTGGTACATTGCGATTAGTACTTACACTTTCTCATTCTCTTCTTCTTGGCATCATTGCCAAACTCGATTTGCTTTCAACTCAACTTGCAATTGGTATATAAATGATCTAATTCTCTTTTATCCTTTTCATTGTGTGTGTTGCAGGTCCGTTTGCTTGATAGGATAGAAATTTCTGAAGATATATTTGTAAAATTATAGAAGCTTCAAGGTTCTAAATTCTTTGAAGGTATTGATCAGTCGTGCTGAGGTAATACTATAGTCGTGATACATGATGACCGTGTTTTATGAACAATCGAGTTGTAATATATACAAGCAAAAGCTCTTTCCGGCCAAACAAGGCTTGTTTTAGTCATATGACAGTGGTGGTGAAGTAGTTTATAGGTGTCTGATCACATTTTGATTGCAATCTATACAATTTGCAAGAAGGGTGCATAAGGTGAAGAAGAAATCTTTATGTTCTTTTTTCCCCTTTTCAATTAACTACCATATTATAGACTCAAGTTGTTCATTATTTGATATATGACATTTTGGTTCGTCTTGCTTCTCTGGAATGTGAAACGTTTAAAGAAATTTCTGCTGCATTGGCTTGTAATGTGTTCGTAGTTTTCATTACTCGGCTTTATTCTCTCATTTTTATACCTTCTTTTTATTCACACATTTTGTAGAATCCACAAATAATACTTACTCATTCGCCACTCATTTTTATTCATTTTAAATTGATTATAATCACTCCCAAACATGCACTTGCATATTTCATTCGATCATAAAATAGCACTTTTATTAAATACTACCAAAACCCAGAAAACACATTCAGCTCTTTAAGCATCAGCCACAGGAAACTAGACATAAATTAAACTCGGAGAAGATGAAAATGCAGCATTATAAATCTGAAGGACGTTATGCAGGTCCAGTTTGGAGTGCATTGTCTAAATCGGCAATCAAATCATTGACATCTTCGATTCCTACAGATAAACGGACAAGATCCTCGGTTAAACCTCTGGCCTCGCGCACTGCAGCTGGTATGGCTGCATGAGACATGAAGCAAGGCAAGCTTATAAGGGACTTTACGCTACCTGCCAATTCAAGACAATAAATCAATGAGTCGAACAAAAGGTAGCGACAATAATTTCGAACTTCATCGATGATTGAACAGAAAAGAACCAAAGAAATTGGAAATTCGACGCGAATATTTTGTGCAGAAGTACGATTTTGAATAGGAAATTACCGAAACTGACGGTTATGGTAAAGTACTTGGTAACCTCGGTTACATGCTTAGAAAGTTCCAACGACCCAGTAAGGAAACTGAGCACAGATCCTGCACCCTTAGCCTGCAAGAGGTATAAGATCAGAGCTGATAGATATAAGAATTTGTTTTCGGCTGTTCTATGTTTGATATAATGATAGTACCGTTTATGATGATACCTGAGAATAGTGTAAAGATCGTCCTCGATGGCTAGGAAGGCCAGCGTAATTAACCTGTTTCACCCGAGGGTGAGAGGCGAGAAATTCTGCAATTTTTTGCGCATTCTCCTGCAAAAGCATTCAGTAAAATCTGTTAACACTAAAATATATGAAAAAAGCTGGTTGTACAGAAAAATAATCTGCAGAAGGCTTACAAAAACTCATATGGGGGTGGACCCCAAGTGAATTAAAATATTGCAAAAAATAACCCACCTACCCCTGCATGTGTGTATTCTGTACCGGTTCTGTACATTTATTTTCTGTACGTGTAGCTAGGCTGAAAATATAGACTTTTGAGAAGATTAAAATCTGTTAGCACTAAAATATATAGACTTTTGAGATGATTAGCTAGACAGCTAGGGGGGCCAGAAATATTTTTGTTCTTCCATTTTTTTAGGTGGGGCGTTTGAAGGCAAGGTGTAAAATTCTGAAATAGCATACAAGTTCCTCTTGAAAATGTTTATTACTCTTAGGATTGCATAACCATATATCCCTCTCCACACCCCCCCTTCTCCGGGGCGGCGCGAGAGAGATTTAGTGAAAAAAGACTCTCAAGTTATGTTGTCCACTAAACACAAATCCTAAATACGCCATCAACCAACAAAAGATAAATATATTGGACATCAATGCCAAAACTAATCTTTCTTACAAACAAGAAAAGGATTAAATGGAACCTGTTGCTTCTCAACCCGCAATGCCATAGTTTTAATGCCTCTTAAACAGATCCAACAGTCGAATGGAGCTAATCCTGCGCCTTCAGCATTTTGTATGAAATACAAGTCCTTTGCCAAACTAATGAGTACAAAATTAAAAGTGAAATCCTTAAATTAGCGACTTTCACTGTCTAAGGAAATGCCAGATATTATAGATACGTCTAAATACATTAATGTTAATAGATAAATATGGCTGGAGCTTAGGATGTGAGAATGGGCCTGAATGGAATAGCCATTCCCATGCCCTCATTTATAATCTGATATTGCTACAACTGATTCCAGGAACAACCATGCCTAACCCCATTCTCATTCTTCATAAAACCGCTATTTTAATTCTCTCACTTACCTTTGGAATGGCCAAAATTCCCCAGAACCAGAACTGTCATTAACTAGAGTATTGCCGAACAAAACCAGTTGGATAGGTTTGATAGGGATGCCCTCGGAGGTAACTATTATGATAGAGACACTTCTCGTATAAAAAATTATACATATGCTTACGGTTCTTAAATCTTCTTTCACATAAACAAAATTAAATATAAAGGCACATTTAGTGTATCCAATGCATAAAATACTTTACAGTCAAACCTTTCTCCTTTAATAGCAAGAACACCTGCCATGACATCACTATGACCAGATATGAATTTAGTCGCCGAGTGCATCACAATATCTGAAAGATTGATAAATCAATATTGAAAATAGATTTGCAGTTCGTAACTTTAATATTTGCTGGAACCAAAAACAATTAATACCTGCTCCCAGTTCCAATGGTTGAGACAAAACAGGAGACATGATGCTGTTGTCGACCAATACAAGAGCACCATGAGCATGAGCCATCTCAGCTATTTTCTGGATTAGAATTAGATGAGAAGAGTAGGTAAACTGTAAATGTAAGAATGTTTGGAAGGTAATTATAGTTTAATCACTTTTGGTCAAAAATACTTTTAATCCAAACATGTCATAGGACCCACATCTTATGATCACTAAAATTTTAATTCATTCACTTCCCAAACAAGCACCATGATATTAGAAAATAATAATTTTCTGGAGAAGTCAAAACCGGAGACAAGTATTTTAATTTACAGAAACCTATAATAATTTGATCACCACTAACTCCACCAGTATAATTTGATATAAATCAACAGATGGTAAAACTGAAATGTAAAATTAAGAGTGACCTACGCGAATATCCGAAATTTGTTGGCGTGGGTTGGTTGGACTCTCCAACCACACAAGCTTTGTCCAGGGGCCAATTGCAGATGCAACCTCAAGGAGGTTAGTTGTATCCACACGCCTGCACCAACCATAGTTATCTAAGATTTCCAACCTAGTGATGCTAAAAGAAGCCATTTCAAAGCAAAAGCCATACTGACTTGACCACAATTCCTGTCTTAGGAATTACTTGTGATAACAACCGATCAGAACCACCATACATGTCATCTCCAGCAAGAATTTCCTCACCTTTCATCAAGAAATAAGAATCTTCACCATATAAACCCATGCAAATCTCCAAAAATAAACACAGTTTTCATAAAGGTAGATTCAGTCTAAATGCTTGAAGATGCTTGATTATTTGTTTGTAATGAAAATTTTTGGAGATTTGAAAAGGACACTAATTAAAATTTCAGTGAACAAGGAATTCATAATCTCGTCTGAGAAAATTCTAGCTCAGGAGTCAGGAATGGACATAGCCTGCATAGTTAGAGACAGGATGAAACCCGATAACCAGATTTGCAGCTCCAACTCTTAAATAGGGAAATTAAAAAGTACCTGTCCCGACAAGATGAGTCACAGCTGCCAAGGCAGCCATTCCACTAGTAAAGCATAAAGCTCGATCTGCCTTGTCAAGCTTTGCAAGAAGTCTGAGAAAATACATAATATACCTTTTAAGAGGGGCAAGTGTACAACAATTATAACCATCTGAATGACTGCACAACCACATTATACATGGCAAATAGCAAAGACCTTTCTAAAGTGTCCCGAGTTGGATTTCCACTTCTTGTATAGTCATAAGGTCCATATTCTACTGCCGAAGGCTGCATAAAGGTTAAGCTAATCATAAGAATCAAATGTCAAATTCACTACCACCACGCACGTTTTCCAGGATAAATAGAAAGATGGAAAGAACTACGACATCTATAAGCAAAAAGGTAATCTTGAGAATCAAATGTCAAATTTAGTACCACCATGAATGCTTTCCAGGATAAACAGAAAGATGGATAGATAGTAGGGCATCTGTCAGCAAAAGCATGCAGAGATAGTATAACTAAAAGTGCTTATTTACTAACAGTGAAGAACAGTACCAGATGGCTTACAACAACAAATAACCATAAACTTATGAAAGATCCAAGGAAACCTTCTCAAAGTTAAAGACATCCACAGAATATTACTTCCGAATTCAAATACAGATTTTTGACTCCTCACTTTCAAAGTTCTATAGAGACTATCTGCCGAGCAGCAACAGAAATCTTAGAATCATGGTTAGTGCCCTGTGAGAGATCGGCTAGCTGAGGTCGAAATGGGGATTGACATGTGGAAAAATAATTTGAAATTATTATATTAAACCCCTTATCAACAAGGTCAAGATCAGAGTAATAAACTTTCATAGCTATGTTAGCATTAATCTTTTCTTCTTGTGGAAAAATCTAGTTCATATTTGAATTCTTAAATACAGCCAGATTGTGTGGACTATTTCTTCCAGTTTATTATTCTGCTTGAAACTTACTACTGATTACTCTCTGCTTTATATATATATATCATGTTCCAGAGTGAACTAACATAAAAGTACTCCTTACACGACTTTTCAAATGGGTTACATATTAAAAACAAAAATGCATTTTTTTTTTCAACAATGAGTGGAATAAAAAAGTACCTGCTTGAAAGTTGCTGTTTGATAAAGAGGCGTACTTAAGGCATCATAAGGATCAAACTCATTACCGAAGTTCATCAACATTGTTGAAACACTTGGCTCCCCTTGGAAACTCATCTCCATAACTTCTGTTTCTACCATCAATTAATAAATTAAGAACTTGTTATGTATAAGACTCGTATAGAGAGGAACACGTGTTTATTGAAAAAAAATAAACGTTTTAATTTAGTGTCTATTTGCTAGGGACGCTTAATAGGTTGGCACCCCCTACGGTACGGTACAAAGGTATTTTTGGACTTTTCCTAAAATCTTTTGCGGCCCTAAAGTCTTGTAGGGCCTAGGTCTAAGACTAGGGTTAGTATATATAGATGATGTAACCCTATTATTCAGTTGGTAATAAATCATCACCGCTTCGCTTCCTGTGGATGTAGGAGATTGCTGATCCATGTTAAATCCCTGCGTTGATTTCTATTTTTTTTTCACCTCTCTATTATTGCATATAACTTAATAA